AACTTAATCTTTAGTTGGCGGTAGCTAACAAGTAAATCTAAGTTTAAAGTGTAAATATCTTTTGCGATTTTTGGATATAATGACTTACTATCGATTAAACAAGTCAGGACCCTACCTATAAAGGAATTGGGGCCCAAAAGTCATGATATATTTTCAAATTTTGTTCGGAAATGATTTAAGACGTTTTAGATTAACTGTATAAACTGTCTTTAAAAAAAAAACTCGAAGATTTTTGGTTGTGTTATGGTCAAGCGAGTACACAAGTCACTGTATATTGCTGACTGAGTACTTTCGAACTCTTTCTTTGCTATCCTGACCGTGATCCTGGCCGGATTTTATTGGTCAAAGATTCATTTAAGAAGTATTTTGTATTCAGTTTAAGCTACGAATTACTACCGTATTACTAATTACATCATAGGATGATTCATGAACGATGTATTCATCCGTATTGATCTTACTCCAAGAAGGAAAAACAAGCCTATGTTAATACTAGGTCCATGCTCAATAAATAGATGTTTTGGTACCATGTTTTTGGTCATTTTAGGTGTTTAGAAGACACATGACTTATAAAAAGGATTTCTTCTTACCCAATTTAACTTTGCCTTCACACATTCTCATAAGTTTGCGGGCATTCATTTGTAAGTTTTTTTGACGAGCCCTATGCCCGTGTAAATGTGTTTCGCATTTCGGATAGGATTTTTTTTTTAAGTGCATGTTTTATAAATTTGTATATTGAAACATTATCCAACTATTAAAATATTCTCTATTATTTTAAGCACGTGTTTTAGTTTAGTATCGGCCCTGATAAGATTCTTTGTGCTTTGTGATATAACATTTTTGAAGGAAAACTGGGCCAGGACTCGGTTTTTCTGTGTTATCCTTCAAAGTTTATGCCATTCTTAATGAATATGATCCAAAACCTAACCAATCCAACCGGTTTTCATGACCGTTTTCCATCCAATATGTTTCTTTTTTGAATATTTTTCTTTTCCGACTTGGAAAATTTTCCAGATGTCCTTGTATTGCCAAATGGTAATCAATTTGATGTCTGGATATCAGGAGAAGTTAGTTTTAGTCAAATCTCATAAAATATATCCTTTATACACAAGAATATTAGCGCATCGTAACGTTTTATTTAAAGAAAACGGAAGTGGTGCTATTTTTTTTCGGCCTTTTTTTGACTTTTTTTCTTAAAATCTGAAAAAATTATATGTAGACAATATTTTCGATATCCGTATCAATTTTTTCAAATAGGTGGAATACTAATCAAGATAATAAAAAACACTTCTTATATAAAAATCCCCGTTTTCCACATATTTCTTTAATATTAAGAACCTGTGACGAAGTGGTGCTATTATTTTTTTCGCAACTGTACGTGTGTATTAAAAGCTTTAAAATAAATCTCATTTTATTTTTATTTGAGAACTTTAACACAATTAGTTAACTTAAATGTGTGATATAACTTTAAAATTAAATTTTAATTTTAGCTTGATGAGAAATCTGAGGTAGATCCCATAGTTAAAAGCACTCACATAAATTTCCAACGCAAATTGCTTAATTTATTGTCAAATCAATAACTCAAACCAGACTGCCCCCCCCCCATTTAAATATTTAGCAAATTTGCGGCAAACCACTCCAAAATGAGACTCATTATAGTTGTTATGTTATTGTTAAAAGCCACGCCCACTGCCCCCAAAATGATAATTGATTTTGGAGCGAAGCCCAAAGGGTTTTGGGGCAGAAACAAATATACATATATATAGTTGAATGTTGTCACTCGTGCTGGTGGCACACACACGAAGGGCCCCAAAACACGTGGCCAGGATAAAGGACATTCAACTCGCACGAAGAGAACAATTTCGAGTCGCTTTAAGTGCTCACTTTACAGCTCCGGGCTGTGTCTATGTAATTTTCAATTTCACGCCCAGCCACTTCGGCCACTTTCCCACCTCATTTGCATATTTTCCGCCAATTATTGTTTGCATATGCGAAAATTTCCCCGCCATTGTGATTCTAATTCGATTTTGATATTTCGCGCCCATTGCAATTTGCAATTTGCCTTTTTTACGATTTGTTTTGCCAGGATCGTGTGCCGCCTCTATTGATCTCATAATCGAACCAAGTGGGCTAAAAAAGCAACTTCCCGTGAGGGTCTCTTCATTTGCATGAGCCTGCTCACTTTTTTATGGCGTGCCAATTTTTGATAGATGATGCGTGAAAATATGGGATGTCAGAGGGGCGAGAGGACGAGCCCTCCTATTTGCATATTTGATTAATTTGTTTGGTTTTTTGGGTGGTTTTTTATGGAAAAATAATAAGCATTTTATTGTGTGCTCTAGGTTTGGAGAGAGAGGGATCAGGGTACCTTCTATAGTTCATCAAATTTCGTGGACTTGGATTAGAAAGGTACCAAATTGATGGGGCATAACGCATCTTTTGTTTTCATACAGGGATGAAATAAAGGAATGAAGAATGCACCAACTGTTGGAAAAATATCCAAAAAAATATATTTAAATATGTAAAAATATATATAAAATATATGTAAATATATTTTTTACGAAGTGAGTTAATCACACAAATACATGTTGTGAAGTTACCATAAATATAAATTTTTTATACACATTCGTAATAATGTAAAAATTGTAAGGTACATCAGAGTTCAGACTTTCCTCTGTTGACTTTCTGGATCTAAAAAAATGTCTAAAAAAGTTTAAGGATCTCTACTCCTGGGTCTATAAAATATACATAGAATTGAGAAGGAAGATTTATTTTTATATTTTTCATATTAATAGAGATGTACTTACATATTTCACAAGTGCTTCGATTTATCTAAATATCATTTAAAACACTTGGCCAACTAACAAAAACTCTCTTTTTGAAGGTATAAGTAGATTAGATACAAACTCACTATATAATAGTGAGAGTGATTGGTAAGTGATTTTCATACGAATTTAATTGATTGGACATCAGCCGCAACAGCAGCTTATTCTACGCATCTTTCAAATGTAAATCGGCATCGTAGTTAGTGGTCCTGGTCCTGATTTTGTGTCGTCCCTCAGTCGACAAGTTTTCCCTTCAGACTGGCAGGCACTAATCCAATTGCTGTACGGATCATTAAGCACTGATTGCGTTTATGGTGCAGACGGAACCTCGGGCCTAGGTATACCATACAGCTGGGAATACGTTCGGATCCAGAGCAAGGACACTTTGCTTGCAGTAGTCGCACCATATGCAGATTAACCCACACAAAATAAGGGGGATGTGATGGCCTGACATCAATTATGCGGGAAATTCACCGATTCGGATTTAGCAGCAAATCGATTTTGCGATAAAAAGAGAAGGAAACTTAAGTGCATTTGTGCGGAGGAAAGTGTTAAATGAAATTCCCATCTTTGCCATAACAGTATTAGTCTCAGTCAACACAGCTCTACACAGAGAAAACAATTTTTTCAAAAAGTTGAAAAATATTCTGTTGGAGTTAAACATTTTTATGGTATGAACGACGAAAATATGGGGTTTAAGAAACTTAAAACCTACTTTAACTGCCATACCTTTTTTCTGGCATATAACTAAAAAAATAAACCTAAAATATCGTAAGTATCCAATAATTTGAAAGGGCTATTTTTATATTTAAAATAAATAGATAAAATTATTTCCGATTAAAAAAAATATTATTTTATCGGAAAAAAAACTATTTCAGATTTTTACTTAGTTTTTTATTCTTTGACCTCAAAGGTTCCTCCGGTTTAACCTAAAAAAAAGAAGTCTATCTCACATTTTTACTTCGTTTTTTTATTCTTAGACCCCAAAGACTCTTCCCGTTTTTCTATTATATTAAAAATACCTAAAAAATTAAGGGGAAAACCCCTGGTTATATGGTTATTTTGACTGTGTACCTTACCTTTCTGACTAGCATCCTCCATTCAAATGAACCGCAAAGTAAATCTGCATTTGATTTGTCACCCGGCGCACATGTTGCAAAAAGTTTTGCCGGCAACTGTCGCCGCTAAAGGTGACATACACAAAAATAGAAAAACAATTGCCAATTACGAACGAGCAGTTTCCTCGTTCTTGCTTCCTTGTTTACCGGATCAGGAGCACCCAAAACCAAAAACCACCGGGAACCCAAAAAACCCACCCCGGTAGCCATCACCACCAGCATGGTCCGCAAACAACGGTCGAAACAAAGTAAAAACGGAAAGAGAAACAATCAAAAAGCGGGAAACTCAACAGAAAAAAACTGAGGGGTGGCAATGGGCAGCAGGAAAAACTATGTGGAAAATCACTTTTGCGCTCATAAATTTCAATAATAAAAATTTGAATGCAGTTGACACGACACCGAAACAAGCATCCTCGCCCTCTTTTGCGACAGAAGAGCAGCCAACAAGGTTAAGTGAAATAAAAATCAGTGAAGTGCATAAACAAGGTTCAAGGTGCGGGTCGCATTGGGATTTGTATCTGAATCTGGAGTATGGATGCTGCTGCACATCCCGATAATTGAATTGGCTTGTCGCATTTGGTTGAGGAGGCACAACCCTTTTTTTTCTACCATGGTTTTGCATATGTACATATGTGTTTATGAACATGGTCATATTTGGGTTATGGATGGATGTGGTCTGCCCTTATTACGATTTTTAGGGTGGCGGCCTCAATTAATACTTGTGGTTCAAGTGCAGAGGCGATAATCTTGAGGTCAGTCCAATTTTAATATTTAGGCAGAATTTAGTGGTTACTCTCTGAATTTGTAATTGCTAAATATTAAATATTTTGGTATGTAGCATTTTGAATACTAGTAGATATTTTATAATTTTTATAATTTTTTAAAAAATTTCCATTTTTCAAAGCTGGAATGGATCCGGATTCTCGAGTGAAAATTGAAAGGAATTTTGATAAAAATATAAGTATAATATAATATTACAAATAACGTATTTATTCGATTATAAATATTGTTAAATTAACACCAAATAGCTATATTCGGGGTAGTTCATCCCAATTGATCTTTAAGACCCCCTAGGACTTTTGATTGCCTCCGAGGCAATTTCCTCGGCCAGCTCCACAATGCGACGCTTCACAAAAGACAGCGTGCAGTAACTTGGTGCCGTCATCGGATATCCCGGTTCAGGGAAAGGACGAACACCTTCACAGCGTTCCTGTTCCTCCTTATACCACCTCAAGTGTTCTTCGGCACGATAATTGAAAGGAGATTTCAATGAGAGACGAGATGAGTAGGTCTCATAGAACTTGATTAGGTCGACGACATTACTATATCTAGTGGCTTCATCAACCGTAGAATTGCCATACACATGAAGAAAGCGTTGTCTCTCAGTGGTGAATTCATCATCACTTTGGGCATGTCCGCTTCCAAGTAGACATCCAGAGACAACCAATAGACAACTAGGAATATATTATTAGAACGAAGATCCTATTTCGAATGGAATAACTTTAACTTACCTGATCAAAATTGTAGGATTCATGGTGTACCTTAAGCTCTTTATTTTAAAACTGATATTTGATGTACCCTGAGATCATTATTTATACCCGCTCTGACATCGAGCAGCTAAAACAAAAACATGAATTCAGCTAATTAGTTTTATACCAAGAATTGGTTTGCATTCGCATTCACTTTTTAATCAGTGCAGTTAGCCTACGATAAGCCCTGATAATCTTAAGTTTTCTGCTACGTAATTTTCGGAGAACGCACAGTTGGAAGAATATTTAGTTTCCATAGTCAGTAATTTTGTTTACTGAGATTCCGCTTTGTCTATCTTGTTCGAGTATAAATTTCTAGAAGCAGCGTTTTGGACCCTATAAGCTATATTTGTATATCCTGATCAGAATTACAAACTATTATACTACTTCAACTTCAATCATTACAAAATGTATGCGAGTGCAAAACAATTCTTGGAATACAATTAAATTGATGAGTGTACATTTTAGAAACATTTACAAGTGCATAAAGCTTTAACTGCTCGATGCCAGAGATTCCGCAGTAAATCGAATATCAGTTTCCTAATCAAGAGCTTGAGCTTCAACATGAATCCTTCAATTATATTTTGGTAAGGCATCGTAATCCCTTGCGAAAGTATTAATAATAATCATAAATATTTGTTTCCTAGTTTCCTTTTGGTTCTCACAGGATGTCTTCTTGGAAGCGGATATCCACAAGGCGTCTCTGAAGTCACTACTGAAAAACAATCTTTATGGGAGACAATCTCTTTTGTTACACCAAGAAATTGCTGGCAGCCGAGTTACAACTACCCAAAAAAAACAAACTTTCTAAACGATCTACCAAATTAATTAAAAGGATTATAAGACAAAATAATAAAAAACTTAAAAAAAAAATATTTTTCTAATATAATAATGTTTTTTTGCAAATTTCTATGATTAAATGTTATTGAAAAAGAACAACTGACCTATCTACAATTAAATAAATGGTGGTTGATTTTTCAATGCAACGAAATAGAAAGGGTGGAAACTGGGATTCAAAACACCGCGCCGACCAGCCGGCCTATCGATAGTTGAGCACGATATCGATATAAATCACACCGAGCGCGAGAATAACAACAAAGAGCACGGATATTCACGTTTAAGAAAAAACTAATATTTTATTCTGGTTCTTGTTGTTGTGGACAGAACGATCGGGTCTAAAGGCGGTTTACTTCTTGGCCTTCTTGGGGTCTCCCTTGGCGGCGTCCTCGCTCTCGGCGGCCTCCTTGGCGCGCTTGGCGCGGATGCCTACCAAACGGGCATCAGTGCGAGCCTGTAAATATAACAAGATATGATTACCAAGGACTCAAGAGGATCCCTGAACCCTCAGCTTACCTTGCGCAGCGTGGCGAAGGCCTTGAACTTCTTCTCCTCCTTGGTCACATCACGGAACTCGACGACGGCGGGCTGCTCATTGGTGATGGGCATGACGCGTCCCTTCAGCTGGGTGGCCAGCTTGCATTCCTCCAACGAGGACTCGCCCTTGCGGATCTTCTTCTCGTTGATGGGGAACAGGATCAGCTTGCTGCGGTACTCCTTGAGGCGCTGGATGTTGCGCTGGCGGGACTCCAGGGATTTGTTCTTGCGCCTCTTGTCGACGGAGATGCCGATGGTCTTGGCGAAGCTGGCGCCAATGCCGGCACCCTGTAAAAACAAAGATTAGGGTTAGTTAGCCGGAGGTTTAAGGGTAATCCCCTAGAGAATACACACCTTGAGCTCCTCCAGGGTGAAACCACGGCCGGCACGCAGCTTGGTGTGGTAGCGGATGGTGGGGCAGCGGACCACGGGGCGCAGGGCACCGCTGGCGGGGCGGGGGAAGACCGCCTTGGCCTTCTTGACGCGGTTCTCGTGCCTGCGGACCTTGCGGGCCGGCTGGTTGAACCAGGTCTTCACATGCCGCTGCCACCACTTGTGGTAGTGCTGATTCGGAATCATATTGTTACCCTTACCCATCTTGGCGGTTTAGATTGGCTGCAAGAAAAACACACAAAACATTAATGCGGTATAACCAAGCTGCAGCCCCACGTGGCTGCTTAATTTTGCTTGTTTTTTCCATAATTCCGAGCACTTTCAATGGTCTACGGTTAAAGGGTGAAGCCCCCTAATCTTCCGAACACTTGGCACACTCGATGGCTTTAATTCCATTTCGTTTATCATTTATTTTTCCCAAATTTCAAGACGCCCATGAAATTTACACACCTTTTCTTCCCAACAACGAATTAAAAAGGAAATCGCAACCAACTTCACGTCGTTGGCCAAGCATAAATTTCCCTCAAAAAATTCCCTAACGCGAGCGAGAAATTTCCCCAGCTATCGATTGGTGATGCAATCAGTGTTAGCGAGAATACTCAACAAATCGCATTTTTTACGCCAGCCATTCGAGTTAAAAATATAAAACGCTGACGCGGATATTTTAAGGGTCTTAAAAAATAGTTAAACCCCAAAACGAGTGCATTTCGGGCATTTATAAACGTTTAATTGCCTTATCGATTGACTGGCGTGTCGCGTGGCAACTCTGAACTGTACTTTTGATAGAGATAAAAAACTATTGACTATTGAACCGTCTATCTATAATCGAGAAATTGCGCGCTAATATCCGCATTGGCCAGCAATCGTCGTCGAATCTATAAATCAAAATAAAAACAAACCCAGGATGAGCGAAGAGGTGTCCCCATCGCCGGTGGCCATTGGCGAGCTCAAGTACGAGGATGTGTCGCAGCTGAACTTCTCCAAACTGTACTCGCCGAAGATGAAGAGCGTCTACTGGCGCTACTTTGGATTCCCCTCGAACGACAACAACGAGGTGATCACCAAGCAGAATGTGGTCTGCATCAAGTGCCACAAGGTGTTGACCAATCATGGCAACACCACCAATCTGCGTGCCCATCTGCAGCACAGGCACAAGGATCTGTTCAAGAGCCTCTGCCAGGAGCACGACATCCATGTGCCGCCGCGCAAGACGCCGCGCAACGTCACCCATCCGCCGCTCTCCAAGCGCAACGTCTCCTCGCGTCGCGTCAAGCTGGAGTTCATCAATAATCGCAATCACGACAACGCCTCCGACGAGGAACTGGATGAGGCGGCGGTGGCCACTGCGGCCATGCAGGCGGAGGAGGATGCCTCCTCGCAAACGATGCTGTACGAAACCATGGTGCCCTTCACCTACGACGAGGCCGAGAATCTGGTCGAGGAGGAGGAGCAGCAGCAGCGCCTGGTCATGGAGCCCAAGTACGGACGCAAGCGCAAGCTGGCCACTCCCTCGAGCGCCCTGATGCACGGGCGGCCCATCAAGCACGAGGATGGCGGCTATACCAACATAGCCAACCTGTCGGAGGCCCTCACGGATATCGTGATCAAGGATTTGCGCAACGTGGACTTCCTCTACGACGCCGGCTTCAGCGACTTTGTGCGCCAGGCCATGGGCAGTTCGGCTGCCATGCCCGAGCCGCACAAGATCGAGTCGCTGATCAACGAGATGCACGCCTCCAAGTTCCTGGAGATTGGCGAAATGACGCGCGAGTTCACCTCCGAGAAGCCCTTCTCTTTGGCCTTTGAGCAGTGGATCAATGTGGAGCAGCGCCGCTTCCTGAGCATCTATCATCACTATCTGGACGAGGAGACCCAGTCGGCCAGGAGCATGCTGTACGCCACCGTGGAGTACACAGACTATATAGTCTTTGACGATCTGCTGACCGACTTTTACTTGGCCAACTGCACACTGGCTATTATAAACTACGACGAGGAGGAGGACCTGCTGCACACCTATCTGCGGGAGAAGAGTAGGTGCATCAGCGGAGTCCAATACTCATTTACTAATATATCCTTTGCTTTCCAGATATCCCCATTGCTTTGTGCTACGTTTCGGTCATTGACAAATGCCTGCGCCGCGTCTTCGAGCTCGAGGAGGTGGCCACGCTGATAGAGCAGGTGAAAGACCTCATGCAGCGCCATTCCTCGGAAATTGCCTCCAAGGTGGCCGAGGGACCCTTGCCCACGTACAACGAGCACTTCCCCTGGACCCTCTACGAGATGCTCAAGTTCTTTGCCGAGTCCATCTCGTGGTCCGAGGACATGGATCAGCTGGTTTTATCAGCCAAGACAGTGACGGAGGCACTGAGTGCGCTGGTGGTAAGTTATTAACTGGAGCCCTGCATAAATGGGTTTAATGAATTATGTTGAATTTTTTGTTTCATTATTATTATTATCTAATGCTAACTTTTAATTAAAAACTATAAACCAACAGTGGTTTTACTTTAGAGCTATAGCACCAAAAGGCCTAAAGCTCGCTTATTGTAGTTTAGTAGTAGTGATTATTATTTTTATTATATTTTACAGATTTTTTAATATCTTGTATAGTATGTTGCAATTATTAAGGAAGAGTATAATTTTTTGGGTATTGATTAAAATAGGCATTTTTTGTTTTATATGAATGAATTAATTCGAATTTTGATTCATTTATTCATTCATTCAATTCGAAATGAATTCAAAAAAACATTCAATTTATTTCACAATGTGAAATTCACATAGAATTGAATTAAACAAATCAAAAATTTCATAGCTTACTATGATAAAACAATAATAGTATTAACCCAACTGAAACCTTTAGACACCCTACTTATTACTTATACCTTTCAGATTGCTCTGGACACTCTGCGTGGCGAGGACATCCCCTTGTCCAGCATGCTCTCCCCCATCACCTCGAAGATTCTCATCAAGAAGCTGGGCATTGCCGAGCAGGACGATCCCTTAATGATGAACGTGAAGCGCACAATCTCCGCCGTGCTGCAAGCGCACGTTATATCCAATGACAATTTGACCGCTGCCGCCTTGTTGGACCCGCGCTTCCACCGCCTGACCACCATTGACAACCTGGAGAGAACCGTTCGTATGCTGACCCAGCAGTACAACAAGAACTTTGGAACGCTGGGCGACGGGGAGTCCAACGAAGTGGCGGCAACCTCCAGCGTGGTGGCCGTCAAGACGGAGCCCAGAGCAGGCGGAAGCAACGCAGCCAGAAAGTCGAGTAAGTTTGCATGATATTAAATGATATTAAAATGCCATAAATTAACAAAAATCTCCCCACAGAATTGGAACTTCTCTTTGACATCGCCGAGATACCTAGTCCTCCGAAGAGGGATGCCGACAGCAGCGTGGAAACCGATCTTAAGCGGTATCGCAACGAAGTGGTCGTTCAGCTGGACGAGTCGCCCATCGAGTGGTGGCTCAAGATGGGTCACATCTACGGAACCCTGCGCGACTTGTCCTCCCTGTACCACAGTGTGCCCGGCGTGGTGAGCCTCAGCTTCAAAAAGGCGCTGCGAGACCAAATCTACGACTTCAACAAGCGATTCATGCTCACCGGGAGTCTCATCGACGCAATCCTCTTTCTACACCATCACAACAATTAGTCTGCACCGCGCAGCTTTCTGTTTTTAAATAATGCAATTACACTTTAATTACTTTAATCTTAATCCGATCTTGTGTATATGAACATGACTAACAGGGGCAGGGCACACATGGCCTATGCGCATTTCCGCCGCACTGTAAACCAAAAGACAGCCTTGGCCGGACACAGAAGATCTATAGGTATCAACGTATATATGTTAAGAGTATATTCTGACAGCATAGATCCCAATGAAACCCTTAGTCTAAGATTACTTGTTAAATAAATCGATAACCAAACAACAAAATTCGGTTTTTAAACTAAATTATTTATTTTAAATCTTTTTTAAAACCCTTTTACTCCATCTTTTTCCCCAGAAAGTAATAAATGCTACCTTAAAATTACTCAAAAGTTGTATTATTTGTATGTATAACAAAACATAGATAGAAGTCCAAATAAATCGCGTTTCCTCAGGGTTTTTAATTGAGTCAGTTTTTGGGATATATGTAAATATTTTTTAAAACCAAATTCTAAAAAATGCTGCACAGTAAAAGATAGAACAATTTTTATAAAAAACGAATTTGCTAAAATTTTATTATTTGATTTGGTGATTAGAATAAAAGACCACTGAAATGGGGGTACCTTATGGGATGGGAATGCCATTGCTGAGGGGAAAGTTTTGGCTATATGCCATTTTTGAACCATTTTCCATTTTTAGAGAAGCTGAATTACTGAATACATTTAAATCAAAAACTATTTTCAAGAAGAGGTGTAAATTTTTTTATGTGTATGCTTCTTTATTATTTTTTCAACCTGGTGGCAACGCCCTTGTGGTTCGCGCCCTCACGAAAGATTCAAAACTCTACAAAAATGTACCCAATTTTTTCAAAAAACAACTACGCATTTTGTGGTAAATATATAAACAAATATAAATACATTTAAAAACGCTCGGTTCTTTTTTAATGTTTTTTAATATTTAGACTTTTTTTGAAGAATAAATCAGCTTAATAAACACCAATCACCGACTAACATTTAAATACAAATGAGTTATAATTGAAAAACATTGAGTTATAATCAAACTTAACAGCATAATTAGTGAATGGGCAGTGGAGGAACTCGTCCTTTCCCTCACTTGCGACACAAGTCGCTCATTCGCATCATTGCCTGCGAGACTTCAGCCGAATTGTCCGACTGCATGGGCGGAATCATCGTTAACGCCCTCCACCAGGATGTTGGGCATCTGCCGACCGCCTCCGCCTCCTTGCCGTCCGCCGTCCAGCGAGTGTAGGTTGCTTTCCTGTAAAACAGAGATATGAAAATCATCTCTTGAATCTTAAATATAAACTACTCACTCTGGGGCTCTCGAGAAGCAATTCCTGAGCCATCGGATCGCCGGACGTCGTCTGCCTGGATCGCAGTAATCTCTGGAAAGCATTCGGCACGCTAAACTGCTGCGACGAGGCGCTGGTGGTGGTGAACGTGTCGTTGCTACCACGACTGGATCCCGTCTCCGTGGATCCTGGCGTGAAACCGACTCCGGGCTCGGCGCGTTCGTGCTCCAGGAACGCTTTGGTGCTGGGGCCGCCGAGCGTCGCCAGCGGATTCTGGAAATGCAGGTTAATATTGAGATCCTTGTGGCCGCGTTTCCGGTACTCATAGTACATGTACCCGAGTCCGGCGATCAAAGATCCGGCGGCGAGTACGAGTAGCGCCATTAGCCAATGGTTGCCCGCGTGCTCCTGCTCTCGTCCCAGCTCCAGGCTGTTCGATGATCCGGCCTGAAGGACCACCTCGTTGAAGGCTCCATGGGGACAACGTTCGCCCTCGGCCGCCACTCGATTGCCGCACATGCACTCGTAGCCGTAGTTCGCCTGCAGGCACAGCCCATGGCAGTGGGCATGCTCGCAGGGATGCGACGACCGCTGCGGCTGCCGGGACTTCCCAGTCACCAGAATGTCCTGGGCATTCAGCACATTGAGGGGTATATTATGGCACATTCGGGAGCCGTAGAGGGCGCACTGCACCGCTTCAACGGAGCCCAGGTTCACAATGAACACATTATTCTCGTACAAACTTATCCCCGATGGTTGCATCAAAGCGTTGGTCTTTTGCAGCATTATCTCTGGTCTTCGTTGTGGTCCAGAGTTCGATCTATAGCTAATCCTCTCCAGCGTGCGCGAGTGCAGGTCCACGTAGTACAGCATCTGCTGATGGGGATCGGTGGTCAGGACTATCATGAAGCTCTCGGTTTTCTGCATCAGCATCTCCCTGTGACTGCCATCCAGCCTGGCCATGTGGATCTCCGAGCTCGTCCGCCCGTATCCCTTCGTGCGTATGGCTATGTAGAAGATCCAGGCGTTGTAGCCATCCACTGCGAGGTGTTTTAGATGCTTCGGGCTCTTGACACGCACTATCCTGCCGCACATGCGCGCTTCGAAGTTGCAGGCGTGGATCTCCTGTGCTCCGCTTAGCACATACACATTTCCGGTGGCCCAATCCAGGGAGACTTTCGTGGGCGTAGGCAGACCCAAGGCACGCACTACCACTTTCTTCTGCAGATCAATCTGGTAGAGGGTGCCCTCATCCTCGGAGGAAAAGTAGCCCATCTGCCGATGCATGTCCACATCGAAGCCGGTGATCCGTGAATCATTCGCCGACCAGGCCACACCGAGCATCACGGGATGTTCGCTCATATTCCGCACTTCGTTAAAGGTGCTAAAGAGCAGGGTGGCTCCATTCGACTGGAGGCTCTTGCAACTGATGCGATCCTGGCGCAGCATGAAATCAGCATGACACTGGCACTGATAGCCGCCCAGCGTATTCTCGCACAGCTGGGCGCATGGCTGCTGCTCCTGGCACTCGTCAATGTCCGAGCAACTCTTGTGATCCGCATCCAAGCGATAGCCATCGAAGCAGGAGCAAACGGCGCCGGCGGGCGAGGCTCGGCACTTGTGCTGGCAAAACGGGCGACCCGATTCGGTGGTGCAGGCCGTGGCGCACTTGGGACCCTCGTCGTGTCCATTGGAACAGTCGGCGAACTTGTTGCACACCCGCGACATGTCCACGCACTCGCCATCCTGGCAGTCAAACAGATGCGGCCTACAGGGCTGATGGAGTGGAGTGCTCCAGGGGTGAATCTGGCTCTGGTTGTGGTTGCTCCTCTCTTGATCGCAGCTCAACTCATCGCTGCCATCGCCGCAATCCTTCTGCCCATCGCAGCGGAACTCCCGGCGGATGCACTGCCTCCCAGAGCGGCACTTGAACTCGTAGATGCTGCACACATCGCCGCAGTCGGCCTCATCCTCGCCACGCGGACACTCGGTGGTGCCATTGCAACGCACATTGGATGGCAAACAGATCTTCAGATTGCTCGTGCACTGATATTGGTCCTCCGGGCAGGATATGTTCACCGTGGAAGTATCTAGATTGCAGTTAAGTTCATCTGACTTATCCCCGCAGTCGTTGTGGCCATCGCATACGAGACTCCTCTCCAAGCATTGTCCCAATTGGCAGCGGTGCATGTCTGGGGGGCAACTCCTGTGCGCACACTTGTCGTGCTCATCCGATCCGTCGCTGCAGTCGATCCGTCCGTCGCACTCCCAGCTGCCTGCGATGCAGGAACCGCTGCCGCACTGGAACATGCCCGCCTCGCAACCCACGGCCGAGTCGCACATGGCCTCGTCGGAATTGTCGCCGCAGTCATTGGTTCCATCGCAGACCAGGCTCGTGTCCACGCACTTGCCATTGTCGCAGGCGTGCTGGTGGACATGGCACTTCTTGGTCTTGTCTGGGGAGAAGGAACGGAAAGAAAACAAGAGATTACGCTATAGTATACTCAGCTATAGGGAGTGCGAGGGAGATGGATAATAACATTTTGATTGCGCATAACTTTTTAACGAATGGTCCGATTTGAAAAATGTCTTCTACATTTCGATAGGCATAAATATACACAACACAATTGCATTTATACTTCTCGGAAATCTTTAAAGGTGTGGGCGCCAAAAACGTTTTAAAATCGTTAGTGGGCGATTGTGGGCGTTAGAGGGGGCGTGGCGCTCGGCTGAAATAAACTTGCGCTGCGTAGGAAGCCCAAGAATATGTGTGGGAAATCTCAACCTTCTAGCTTTTGTAGTTTCCGAGATCTCAGCGTGAACAAGAATATATATACTTTATGGGGTCGGAAACGCTTCCTTTTAGCTGTTACATACTTTTGCACAAATACAATATACCCTTCTACTTTACGAGTAACGGGTGTAATTAGTGGTAGTTAGAGTTGCTTCTGGTACACTTACCGAACTTCTCGCACTGCTGCTCATCCGACTGGTCCCGGCAATCCTTGCGATCGTCGCAGCGTCGCTCCTTGTCCACGCACTGCTCGCCATTGTGGCAGGCGAACTGCCTGTGGGAGCACTGAACCTTCGGCTTTCTTCGGTGCTGCTCGTCGCAGTCCAACTCATCCGAGTTGTCCACACAATCCTGCCGTCCGTTGCACCGATGATTCAGGGTGAAGCACTCGCCGCTGCGGCAGCGGAACTCGCAGTCCAGGGCCTCCACACAGCTGCGATTGCCCGCGTTTTGGTAAACGAATCCCGCTGGGCACAAACAGATCGAGTGGTAGGGACCCTCGCCCACGCAGATGTGCGAACAGCCGCCGTTCTGCTGCTGGCAGGGATGCGATTCCCGTCCCGCGGGTGAACTGGCCGCCAGTGGGATCCGACTAGGCGCAGCGATGGGTACAAACGGCAGAATGGCGTCGGGATCACTGCTGCCCATGATATCGATCATCTTTCGCGGCCCCATGTTGCTCTTGTGCGTCCAGAAGATTCGCGGCGAGCCCATCTCGCTCCAGAAGAGGTCCTGGTGGACTAAAGCCAGGCTATAGGGACGCCTCAGCTTGCCCCGGAAGGTCTGACTCTGCGGCTGCTTGTAGCTCGAGTAGCTAATCCTGCCCAGATCGCTGTCCGACCAGAAAAGCGTTTGTGTCTCGTAATCGGCGGCCAATCTGATGTCATCATCTCCCAAATCATCCTCGAATACATGCACCTGTTCGCCCTTTCCGCTCAGCGGTATCCTATCGATGTGCCTGTGCCTTCGAGCCTTGAGCACCACATACATATAGCCCTCCGAGGGCATCACGCTCAGTCCAATGGGCCACTCCTGGCCGGGGAAGAAGCGAATAAGGGCCCGCTGTCGCGTCTGCAGGGAGAGCAGCTCAATCACACCGCGCTCCACATCCGCCCAGTAGAGATTCCGACTGAGATGATCGAAGGAAAGAGCACTCACATTGCCCAAATTGGAGCGAACCAGGACGCTGGTCTCTTGATGCTCCGGCTGATACTCCAAAATCAAATGCTGATCATTATCCGCTATTATCAGACTCCCATTGATGCGGTTGTAAACCATTTCGTTGATCACACAGGGCAGGGTGTACGTCTTGCTAACCTGATGCCGTCCAAAGGCGGTGTGCTCGAGTTCCAGGAGCACCTGACCCAGGCCCACATACAACCGCTGTCGCTTCTCCATCAGCATGCAGCGCTGCATATCCGGTGCTAATATCATTCCATCCGGACAGGCGCAACTATGACCACCTGCCTCGGGTTCGGCCAGCAGGCAGAGGTGCGAGCATCGGGCATTCTCACAGCCGTGCGTGGAGTTCGGCTGCTTGGCGGGATGATAGATGTGCACGGCGTATATGGTGCGATCCTTGGCCAGAATGCGATGATCCTTGCCGGAGAACTTGTGGCACGCATGCACGCTTTTCGTCGCCCAATCCGACCAATAAAGCTGATCCTCGAAGATGGCCAGGCCATAGGGATGCTTCAGCATCCCATCCAGCACAGTACGTCGGCCGGAGCCATCGGGTCGCACCGTTTGCACGCTGCCCAACTTGGCGTCCACCCAGTAGATCCTCTGCTGGTGCATATCCAGTGCAATTCCGTTGGGCCAGTGGATATTCTCGCTCACTATTGGCCGCGATCTACTGCCGTCCATGGAGGCGCGCCCGATCATGGGCTTGTCACCCCAATCCGTCCAGAACATCAGACCCCGCTGTGGCCAAACGGCCAGGGATCGCGGCTGGTGGACATCCTGGGTGATCAGCACAACACAATTGAGCCCGTCGTTCGAGCAGACGGCTATGTGCCGCATTATGTTGTCCGAGAAGTAGATGTTCTGCGTCAGCCAGTCCACGGCCAGGTCTTCCGGTGCATCCAGACCGGAGGTCAGCAGGATCTCCGCCTGCGAACCATCGCCATTTGCCTTCACAATGCTCTCTGCTTCGTTCTGGATGTTGGTCCAGTAGATATGACTGCCATCGTAGGCCACGCCAATCACCTTGCTGAGATTTCCGGCCACCGGGTAAATGTGGTTTCGTAGGTTATTCTCGTGCAGATGCATTCCCATGATGGTCATCTGGGTGGTGTACAGCAGGAGGGGCTGCTGATCGCTGGAGACGTGAACGATGGCGCGACAGGTGCGATTATCACTGGCCATCAGATAGCCAGCATCGCAGACGCATCGATAGCCGCCCGAGGTGTTCTCGCATCCCTGGCTGCACAGATCATCGCGCTCCTGGCACTCGTCAATGTCCTCGCACTTGTCCTCGAATTTGGCCTGCCGGAATCCCGTTGGACAATGGCACTCGGCCCCACCGGAGGGCATCATGTGGCACTTGGCTCCCGGCGGACACTTTTTTGTGTCGCAGTCTGGTTTGGAGTGGCACAAGTCAGTCTCGTCGCTGCCGTCGGAACAGTCGCTGTGCCCATCGCACACTTCGCTGAGCTGCAGGCAGGTTTCACGATTCCGGCACAGGAATTTGCCCATCTCGGGTTGACAAAGGTTCGCTAAAAGAAGGGGGAGGTTTATTATATTATAGGATTTAAATAAAAATGATAATGTAAATATATAATGTAAAAACGATCAACGTTTCATATCGATTTTACATTATTTAAGATAAATTTTAATTTGATATACGACCAGGTAAATTTGACCTGGTCGAAAAGAGTATTTCATATAAAAACGATATGGGTTTTGCATGACCTGAAATTTCATATCGATTTAACATTATTTAAGATCAATTTTAATTTGATATGCGGCCAGGTAAATTTGACCTGATCGAAGAGAGTATTTCATGTAAAAACGATATGGGTTTGGCTTAAAATTTACATGGCCATATCGATTTTACGAAAAATTTTTTTTGTATATCAGGATATATAAATCAATGGGAAATCCAATCAAGTCGACTCACCGCATCCCCTTTCATCGCTTCCATCGCCGCAATCGTCGACGCCATCGCAGACCCAGTTCTTCCGCCGCAGGCACCGTCCGTTGGCGCAGAGGTGGCCCGAGGAGGAGCATGTGGCCTTCGCCTGCTCGCATCCGGCCACCTCGTCCGACCTATCCCCACAGTCCGTTCGTCCGTCGCACATGAAGTCAGCCGGAATGCAAGTGCGGTCTTGCTGGCACATGAACTCGAACTCGCTGCAGTTGCGCATGCGCCTGGGGGTGTCCCACAATCGGAATCCCAATCCTGGATGGGAAGGGCAATTCAGCTCGTCCTCGCCGCCGGGACAGTTGTCGATGCCGTTGCACATTAGTTCCGCTGCCAGGCAGGCTCCGTGTGGCTGGGCACACGGGAACCAATGTGGCGCTCGGCACAGTCGGTAGTCTAGATAAGGAAAGAGGGATAAAGATATTATATTTATATTTATATTCAAGGAATAACAGTCCCTTAAGAACTATAAAAAATGAAAAAGTGCGAGAAGATATGTATTTCTCATTATTTTTTGGCAGTATATGAAACGTAGATCGATTTTACATTATTTAAGAGCAATTTTAATTTAAATTTGACCTGGTCAAAAAGGGTATTTCATGTAAAAAGGGTCTGGGTTTTGCATGACCTGAAATTTAAATGGCCATATCGATTTTACGGTGACATGTCTTTTTTTGTGTGTATCTAATCTGTTTTTTAATAATATTAATTTTAAGTTTATCAGAAAATTCGACTAAAAAATAGATCCTAACCATAGTTATGTAATTATAAAAATATTTAATTATTTATATAAAGCTAAAATACAGTGTAAAACTATGAATTTTATAAAAATATATTTGTTTTGTATTTAAATAGATTAATAGATAATTTTTTTAGTTTCAGGGTATAACCATAACCTAAAAATGCTGCAAAACGTATACCCCAATGATCTTAAGATTTCCTTTTCATACGTTTTTTAGGAGAGATCTCTTTAAACTTAATAAATCTGACTTAAAAAATATGGGAGATATTGGTAACTACATAGGTTTTGTAGGATTCAATATCACGTAGGGATTGCTTTAGGAATCCGGAACTTTCCAACTACTCACCGCAGTCCAATTCATCCGAGCCGTCCTTGCAGTCTCCGCGTCCGTCGCACATCTTCGCCTGTAAGATGCAGCCGCCGTCTCTGCACTGGAATTGTCCCGCATCGCACCGCGTGTCCGCTGATCCCGACGTGGCGGCAGCAGCAGCACCGCCAAAGCCCAGCAGAAGCAGGAGCACCGGGATGGCCACGTGGCGTGCAGCAGCTCGCCAGGATGCGAGTCCATTCTCTGTTCGATCCTTTTGCCGTAAGTTATCCCTTGCGGAACTGGAACTGCAACGGGAACTGGAATGGCAAGCACGTGTCCGCGAGGTTGGGTTGAATCCTCGCCGGCTGGTGGTCATCTTCGGGCTCTCTGCCCGGATGCTTCGCTGGCTGGGGGGCACCTGGTGCTCGGCCTGGAACATTCAAAACACAAAACACTCAATTCTGTCGACAATTAACACTTGAGACGGGTAAAATTAAAACAGGAACAGAAAAGTGCGGCTAGCAACTGGGAAAGCCGAAAGCGAATTGAACGAGGAAACCGTAAGTTTCCAGTATCCCGCGCGGGAGCGGGAAAAGCACCGTTATTTTAGTGAGACCGTAGGCTCTTCTCGGGAATATACCAAAAAAGCATTGGTTTTTATTTGACATTTGGTATTATTTTTATCGTTATCGGTTAAGCTGCTGGCGGAGACGTAGGCATCTGCAATTTGGATTTGGCACAAAAGAAGGAGATATCAGCGATATTATTGATATTAGGAACTGACCCAGTGGCCCGAGGCACTTGCTCTGCTAGCAGGGGATCTCTGAAAATGTAATCTCCTGTAATCTTCTGTGCGAGAACTTCTGGCGGCGAGGAGGAGGGATTCAGATTGGCGGAAAGCGGAAAGCCAAGTGAAAACAGAATATCGGGGCGGCGGCGTCAACGAACTCCGGAATTACATTAATCCGGTGATAGCTTTAATCCCCAAGAGCAATCACCCACCCAAAAAGGAAGAGGATGTGCACCCTGGACATTCGACGCTTCTTCGAGGAGTGGCGCATCTGGATACGCCCGCTGCTCATCGTCACCTATGTGATCTTCGCCATTATCGTGGTGCCGCTGCTCATTGTGAACTCGGTGAAGGATGGCTTCCAGCGCAACGATCAGCTCATCCTCATCGGCGGCCTATTTGTGCTGTCCGCCGTGCCCGTTTCCATTTGGCACATCATCCAACACGTCATCCATTTCACCAAGCCCATTCTGCAGAAGCACATTATCCGCATACTGTGGATGGTGCCCATCTACGCTTTGAACGCGGTAAGTGGGTCATCGGTTATCGGAATTGAAAACCACAAGAAATCTAATACTATCTATTCACCTGCAGTGGATTGGCCTGTTCTTTCCGAAGCACTCCATCTACGTGGACTCGCTGCGCGAGTGCTATGAGGCCTACGTGATCTACAACTTCATGGTGTACCTGCTCAACTACTTGAATCTCGGCATGGATCTGGAGGCCACCATGGAGTACAAGCCGCAGGTGCCGCACTTCTTTCCGCTCTGCTGCATGCGTCCCTGGGTGATGGGCCGCGAGTTCATCCACAACTGCAAGCACGGCATCCTCCAGTACACGGTGGTGCGTCCCATCACCACCTTCATCTCTGTGTAAGTCTCTCCTTGCAGTTCTATCAGCTTAAAACCCATTTCTAATCATATTTCCCTTAGCATCTGCGAACTGTGCGACGTCTACGGCGAAGGCAAGTTTGCCGGCAACGTGGCCTTTCCTTACATCGTGGTCGTTAACAACATCTCCCAGTTTGTGGCCATGTACTGCCTGGTTCTCTTCTACCGTGCCAACAAGGAGGACCTCAAACCCATGAAGCCCATCCCCAAGTTTCTGTGCATCAAGGCTGTGGTCTTCTTCTCGTTTTTGTAAGCTGTGAACTTGAAGCTCTTAAAGGTGTTGTGTTTCTAATCATATATTCGTATATTTATAGCCAAGGAGTGCTGCTCAATGTGCTGGTTTATTATAACATAATCAAGGACATTTTCGGCTCGGATGTGGGCGACACGAATCTGGCCTCCCTGCTTCAGGTGAGTGATTAATTGAGAACCTTTGTCTAAGGGTATTAAATATATTTTATTATTCATAATTACTCATATTACTATTACTATTTTAATTGACTTTTTTTTTAAATGTTAATTTTTATTTATTTTTCAATTTGTAAATTTTTAAAATTTTTGGAATTTTTAATTTGAATTATTTTAATTTTTTAATTTAATTTTTTTTTATTATTCTCACTTTTATTTCTAGATTTAGGTAGTGCTCTTAGTTAGTCTAATATATTTTAATATATTTGTTTTTGCTTAAAAGATAATTAAGCTAAAGACTAAGCTCATGACTAAGAGTGACTATTAAGTCACACTTTCTCTTATCCAAATTGACAAATTCTATGTATATAAGCGAAAGTTTTTGGCAAATAATTTAAATAATTTTATATTCGCCCACCAGAACTTCCTTATCTGCACCGAGATGTTCTATTATCCAAATTGTCAAATTATATATAAACAAATAAGCAAAACAAACCTTACAACTTAAGTGAAAGTTTTAAACAAATAATTTCAAAAGTTTTATATTTCCCCACCAGAACTTCCTCATCTGCATCGAGATGTTCATCGCGGCCGTGGCCCACATCTACAGCTTCCCGCACCACCCGTTCCACATAAACTCGCCGCAGTACTGGAACAACCCGGACCACAGCTGGTGCCGCGCCTTTCTCTCGATGATGGACATCTCGGACATGCAGGAGGACGTCACCGAGCATCTGGGCGTGGTGGGCAGCTCGCTGAGCCGCCGCTTCCAGGGACGCAGCACCTACCAGCCGCTGGCCCGCAGTCCGCGTCGCTCCAGCAGTGAGTCCGAGTATTTGATCAGCAAGCGGCAGGATCAGCAGCTGTCGGGGGGCAACAACTCGTCGCAATCAGGTAACATGTATGGTGCTACAACATCCAGTCGCCTCATCGTGCCTGTCTACGATGGCAAGCTGAACACACTGCCCGAAAACGAAAGCCAACCACCACATCATTCTCACTCCCAATCTCGATTTCCTTTAGCAGGCATGACCGACGATAGCAACCACTACCAACAACAACAACTACACTTGCCGGGCGCGACGGACTCTCATCTGCATCTTCGCGAGCGCGAAAGGGATCCAAGTGCGGGTGCAAATGCGGCTGCTGGCGTGGGTGGCAGAGCCGCCTCGGCGGCAGCGCCAATACCCGAGTCCAACGACGACTATGCTTTGCTGTTGGGAGCGGGCGCAGGCAGGTGACACCGCTACCAACAGCAGTACCACTACCAGCACAACCATCAGCACCCGCACATTGACGACGCCTTCGAGGATGAGGACGGCGTGGACGTGAGCGCCTCGCTGTCCGTTTCGTTTGGCCTGTCGAGCAGCCTGAAGTTCAGTGCCACTGGCAGCAACCAGTCGGCCTCCGAATGGTCGAACTCAACGGGCGGGGATGATGATGACGCTGACGACGATGACGTGGACGTGGACGGAGTAGATCAGGCGGATGGCGAGCAGCCCCTTGTCGCTGTAGTCGCCTCCACGACGCGGCGACGCCGCGATCGAGAGTACATCACCTAGACAGGCAGACCTTAAAACCCTTTTCAGTTATGTATAGACATCGGATTTTAGGTGAAATCCTTGTTTTTAAATATGATTTAAAGCCACATTTGATTGGTTAAATTAAGTTTTGCCTAAATCTATTTATAACTTAATAAATACAATTTTTAACCAATCAAATGTGGCTTTAAATAGTATTTAAATAAAAACGATTTCACCTAAAATCCGAAGTCTATATATGTATATGTCATTGCTATATTTATTGTTTCCCCTTTAACTTGATTTGTGCTAGGCTTAGAATACTCATAAAAACAAACACTTTCTAGCGGCCCATTAAATGGGGCATTTGAATGGTGGCCTTAGTTTTTCCCCCAGCCCAAAGAATCATCATTAGACTTGTGCGAAATGGGGCCAGATATTTTGTATGTACTTTTTATGTGCTGATTTTGTTCGAAACAATACTTTTTACTCAATACATCCCCGCATAGTTAGGTCTCGAACTTTTGTGTGGCGTAGTAGTTAATTAGAAACATGCCTCCTGAACCGATTGTGAATTTTGCGACTGCCGCCGGTCAGAAAAGGGCGTGACTTGTATTTAAATAGAAATTCTTATTGTAAAACTAATATACACAATTATAATATAACATTGGAAAATATTTGCAAACCGCCTTTTATGTTTTTATCTGCATTATTATTGTATTATTTACATACTAACACTGCTATTCATTCCATTTTCGACTCATTTGTAAGCCTTATCGTTTAATATATTTTCGGTTTTGTTGACGCAAATCGTAAATGTGATAAGAAGTTTTCCAAATTTGCTGTATCATGAATTCCCCACTTGCATTCCCAGTTTTTTGTTTAGGCTAGAGTCATTTATCTTACACTTCCCCGTAAAAGATAAAATGCCAAATGATATTCAGACGTGCTGATATGAGATAATATATTGATGACAAGGCCATTTTATTTGTAACATTTATTGAAATATTTGTTTAAGCACTTCGATTCCTTTGTCTTTTCATAATACTTGCTTTTTACATTTGAACGAAACAGAAAACTTTAAATTAAAACTGACGAAAACGAAAACGGAGACATATAGATACAGAGTAGACCGAAGTACATATAAAGGCATTCACGGAATTCACGTTACGAACATAAATCAAATCGAATACTACTGATAATAGAAAGAAAACAAGTAAACCGAATATCAATCAACATCAATTAAAAACAAATTCAGTCCAGTGATTACTTCTCGTGCTGCGTGCGCATAATTGTAACGACTCCCAGTAAATTTCGACGGGGCATGCCCCCAATTGCTTTCAGCATACATAGATAGGCACGCAGCAAGCAGCTCCGATCAATTGTTGTAGTTCTGCCTGCCGCCCAGCTCGAGGAGGTACCGATCCGGATGGTCCATCCAATCGGCGGCCGTGAGCTTCACCGTCCGCTGTCGCTCGGCCTCCTTGATCTGCCACTTCTTGATGTCCAATTGCACTTCGCGTGATGATTTATCGCCGCAGCCCCAGACCTGTGAAGAGAAAAGGAGGAGCAACGTGTAGTTCTTGTTGTTGGTTGACTGTTGTTGGATGAGGAGAATCGTAGACTTAGTTATAATGCATCGCATGTTTTTAACAGCTTAGACTGGAGATTATGCCGTTTATATACGATATACGTCTATGAATTTTACACTACATACCATATATGCATATACACATATATAAATATACCCTGTTGAATAAGGCTTATTGTACATGAATGCGATTAAAGTGCAGTGAAATATTCAAAGTATTGGTTGATAGCCGAATCTGGTCTGAATTACTGACTAGCTTGTTTTCACTTTTTTAATAGTGGACTTATAATAATAAAAGAAACGATTTCTTTAAAAACTGCGCTGTTTTCATTTCCCCTTTCGAGAATAACTGGTGCTAACTGAATTAATCTATACCCTTTGAAGCAGATAACTTATCTTGATTAAAGTTAATTGTTGCAATCGAAACCTCAGTTTTCTGATAAATTTTGATTTTATCACGACTGATTTGATTCAGGGAGCTACTTTGAATTGTTCATACTAAGTATGCGTTAGAGGCGAACATATCCTTTTAAATACTAATATTTAATAAAATAGAAATAGTAAAATAATAATATTATGGTTAGGACAAGCGCAACGCTGATAATGAACAATTACGCCTGATTTTGAATGGAAAATATTTTAAAATCGTAACATCCGTAAGTGAAATGAAATTGCTAAAGACCTTTAAAAGTCTTTTCACGACTGATTTGATTCCTCATAAAACGATTGATTTAAAAAACCAATTATAGACGAACATATCCCTTTACCTCTATCGACATGAGTCCTGCGGCCAGTCCCTTGCAGTCCACATTCTCGAAATGCTCGTCGACTGCTATAATGGGCTTGCGCGGATCGGCGCCGGCACGCAGTCCCTTCGGATAGCCGCGTATGCTGGTGTTAAGGTACAGAATGTTGGGCTTCTTCTCCAGTATCACAAACCTTCAGGGAATAAGGATTAATAAGGATACGAAAAGCACCAACAGTAAGCTACCCACTTGGGCAGCAGCTGGATGACACAGCTGCCTTCGCCGCCGACGAACAGATGGGTTTCCTTCCACTCACTGGGCGAGGCCACGCAATACGTTTGCTCGTCCTTGGTGTGCAGCAGAACGAGCGTGGGTCCGCGGTAGCCGAGGACGTGGTGCAGAAACCGATTGGCCCCGACGCCATGCTCGTTGGAGTCGTACAGCAGCGTCCAGTGCGAGGGCATCATCGAGAGCTTCTCCTTGAAGATCTGCACGGCTGTTGAGGCGCTCACATTGTTGTTTCCCTTGCTGCTGGCCGGCGGGGCAACGGTCTGCGGCTTGGAGTAGAGCGGCGGCAGAGCTCCGGCCAGCAGCCAGGCCTGTGAGAGGGGCATCAGGGAGTCCATGTCCCGTCCGCCGCCTCCGCCACTGTGGTCCGTGGTGTCTGTGAAGGGATTGCGCTGCTCCAGCACCGGAGTCTGCAGCTCAATGCCGCAGGACTGGTTCTGCAGCTCCAAGCCGCGATAGGCGGTGGACAAAGTGTGCACGCAGTACTTGTGGACGAGGAGCACCAGTCGCATTAGGTTCTGCTCGAACCAGCGGCAAACGTAGCCCAGGCTCATGCTGTCGTGGCACAGGAAAATGGACTTGGTCACCGATCCAAACGTGCGATTGATGGCCGAGCAGAGCACCGCGTTGCCCGAGTGCTGCATGGCAATGGTGTAGCAGATGTGCAGGAGCCGCGTGACGCCCGTCTTGTCGATCAGTTCGGGATTATCCTCCTGGGCGTACATCTTGATGTAGCACTCCAGCGTCTTCGAGTCGTCCATGATGCCCAGAAAGCGTTCGCACTGCTGCCGGAAGGCCACAGCGCCCAGATGCCTCGTGGTGGCCTTGGAGTTGGAGTGCATCAGCTGGAAGAGCCGCTGTCCGAGGTCGGTGTATTGGGGAAATACTTGTGACTGGCAAAAGAAGAGGTGTGAGTGTTATTGTTTTATGGGTGTTATCAGCTAATTACTCACCACAAAGACATCGGCCACAATGCCATTAATGCCCAGCTTGGCCGACGTCTGCTCGCGGAGGATCTCGGCCAGCTTCTCGACCGGCACCAGCTGGGTGAGGTACTTCTCGGTGACATCCGCTCCGGAGGCGGACCTGGTCATCGAGCCCTGCGCCTGCTGCACCTTCAAACTGTTGTTGTGACTGCCGCCGCCGCCCACGTCAGAGTTTTGGGGGAGGTGGGAGGTGGAATCTTGGCTGCCCTTGTGCCTGTGCAGCTGCCTGCCCCCCTCCAGGGGCGGCTCACTGGCGTCCGACTCGCCCTTGGAACTCGTGTTGCCCATGTTTCGTTGAGGATTCCTTCGACGCAATTAATTATCGGCCAGTGGAAACGTACGTGGAAAGGGCATAAAAAAGGCCAAACGCAGGTTTGCACTGGAAATGGCAAAAACAATTTGGTGGGCAAGGCGCAACAGGTGCAGGAACGTCGTTTGCTGGCCGAAGAAACAACTGCGACGCGTCGCGAAACCTGTTATGAAACACACAAATACAGCGCTAACAAATCAGGTAAATATATTTACATAATTAAACGCAAATTAAGCTTTGAAACGAGAAAATAAAAACAAACCTAGTAAGTGTGACCGTGCGGCAGTTGCAAAATAATGCTGACGAGAGTGTGGCTTCAAAGAGCAGGGAAAGCAACAAAAGCAAATGGAAAAAAAGGTATGATGTACCAAGTGATACCCTTTACTTTCATAAAACGCTTGAGTCATCAAATTGTTAGCTTTAATAATTTGATTGTAAAATATTATATGATAAAATTAGTTTCAAAATAAATGGCTATAAAAACTTGTACTTTTCAAAAATTGTTTGTATATTTTTACTGATTTTATTTTTAAGTATATTCCCTCAAGTATATATTAATTTACATTTATATAAGAAAAAGTAATTTTTTTATATATATTTAAATATTATAAATTGTTATAAAAACTTGTACTTTTCAGAATTTTTTTTTTTTGTGTACTGTTTTTATTTTTAAGTCTCCTTTATTAATATATATTAATTTACATTTATATATCCAAAAGTAAATTTTGTTCAATATTAGATACTAGTCACAAAACAAATATACCTTTCTAGTTTGCAAATCTAGGGTACCAAAGGTAAATAAAACAGATTCACAACAAATGGTGGCCCCAGCAAGCACTCTCCAAAATAACGCGAATTCCGACGAGGATGAGGGCGTGCGGTCGGCGCCCACTTCCATGCTGGTGCTGGACGCCAAGCGGAAGAGCGCCTTCCTGCCGTACCGCCCCCAATCCACGGTGCTGACCAATTTGCAGCGCGGCAACACGGAGGCCACCTTTTGTCCCGTCGAGGTTTCCCTCTCCTTCCACGAACGCGCCGGCCAGGGCGAGATCACCGAGGAGCAGGTGGCAGCCGAAAAGGCACGTCAGCAGGACATCGACCACAAGGACGGTCATGGATTCACTGCCCTGCATTGGGCATCCTCCTACGGGCAACTGGTTTCCGTGCAGCTGCTCGTCGCTGCGGGCGCTAATGTAAACACCATGGCCCCCGATCTGGTCAGTCCTCTCCTCCTCGCCGCAGCCGGCGGGCATAATGAGATTGTTCGTTTCCTACTGGACCATGGAGCGGATTCGGGTCACATGGACATCGTTGGGAGCACGGCGCTTATGTACGCAGCGGCAGGAAATCATCCGCACACTTGCAACGAACTGCTGGCCAGAGATTTGGATCTGAGTGCCACCAACGAGGACGGGGACACGGCCTACTCGCTGGCCGTGGAGCATGGTGCTCATCTGGCCCAGGCACTCCTGGAGCAGTACATGACCGCCATAATCACGGCGGGAGCGTTTGGTAGTATTTAAATGGGGGGTAGATCTAAGGTGTTTTCTTTCTGTTTTTAATTTTGTTTTAAAAAAAAGCGTATAAAATGGTATAAAAATGTTTTGAGGTACTTTATCTCCACCGGAGATTAATGTTTTCTTAAGGAAAAATGTTTTAAATACCCACATATCCATTTAAAATTAAGAATTTCCTATCTGTTTTTAAATTTGTACTAAAAACAGCCTATAAAATGGTATAAAAACGTTTTGATGTACTTTATCTCCACCGGAGAATTATGTTTTGTTACTTAAATATGTTTTAAGTACCCACATATCTATCTAAAAAATGTATCCATCACAAAAATATTCTTATTTAAAACTCAAACATTTTATTCTTGCTCTTGCGTGTCTGCTGTTCCTTGCTAAGACTGCGTTCCTGTGCCTGCAGTGCGGTTAGTTCCTGTTTGTGGTTCTGCAGCTGCACTTGCAGTCGTTTTTGGAGCTGTGCATCTCCAGAATTCCGGTCCAGCGATTGTTTCACCTTGGCCATGTCCCGCTGCTTTCGTCGGATTTCGTCAGCCACTCGCACTGTTTCCACATTGAGAGTCTTTGTCGAATGCTGCTGTAGTTCGTTGGTCTTGGCCTTCTTGGCCACCTGCTCGCCCTGCTGACTGTTCTCTCCTGGACCAAGAACACTGGCGTTTAGAAAGGTGAAAACATCCGTACGTTGGGTTTCCCGGGCGTAGGCCTTCTCATCCGCTTTCCGCTGACGACGCTGTGCTCGCTTCAGCTTTCTTTCCACGCTGAAGTAGTCCTTGTCCCCGTTGGCTGCCTCGCGCAGCTCCATGCAGGCGTCTAGGGATCGACCCTGGGGAAGAATCTGAGCGCTTACAGGGGTAACAATGCCTCTGCCATCCGAGCCAAGACCCGTGCCATGGATGTAGCCCATTTTAGCCATGAGCTTGGAGCCGATGCCCTGTGGGAATGGTATTTATATGTAATTAAATGGCTGAATTGCTAGGAGATTCTCACTACTTACCCTTGTAAACTCCTCCCAGGCGCCCAGTCGCTCCGTTGGTTTAAAGGTAAACAAACTCAGCTCGACCATGCGGGCTCTCCTAGCCTCCTCCAGCTCATCCAAGTCCGAGTCCGCCTCATCACTGCTCTCGTCGTTCAAGCTGGATTGACTGTCATCGCTGGAGAGCTCGTCATCTTCATCCTGGTCGGTGGTCAGCGGAAAGAGCTCCTCGAACTTGAAGTCACGTTCCCGCTCCTTGTGATCCTGGCCATCTAGGCGCACGCGACAAACCTGCTCTACGAAATTGACACAAAGGACGCGTCCCCGATGCCACAGGCGATCCGGCAGCAGGGCAAACACAGGACGACTGCGGGCCAGTTTATGGAAATCGGGTGGAGTGTACTTTCTAATGGAGCTACCGGGAACCAGGGCGCCATGGGAAAAGCGGCACCTCGCCTCGTCAAAGCGGCATTCGCCCTCGAGGTAATAGGAACAAGGCAGCATCTCTCGATGCGTGGGATTCGTGAAGAGCACCCTTAGACGAGCGTCCAAGACGCCCTCGCTGTTGATGACCACCTCGTCGTCCACGCCGCAAATGAGGGCGTTGTGGTAGCAGGTGCCCCAACTGTGCTCGTGCGGAGCGGAGCACTTCTCGCCCACCATGGCCGTGTACTTGGCCCGCAGATCCGCCAGCTGGCGCTCTTCATCCGCCGCCGTTTGGTTGCTGGAGACCACCGCCTCCTCCAATTCGTTGAGTTCGCTTCTCAGCCGCTGCAGCTCGTCGTCCAGGTGGTCCACCTGCTGAGGTACTTCATCGGTTGTTGGCTGTTCATCTTGTGACTCCCGTGTGAGGGCCAGTAGCTCCTGCAGATTCGTCTTTAGGGCCAAAAGTTCCTGGCGTTGCGGCTCATCCGTGGCATTTTCCAGCGCCTGCTCCACAACGAGCAACTGTTGGGGGGAAAATATTTGTCATAAAGGAAGTTGGAACTAAATTGGATCACCTTTGCTCACTTGTGCTTCGTATTCATCCATAATTAATTTCATTTATTAATTAAAGCATGATGCGGCTTCGAAATTGGTTGTTTTCTGTTCTGCAGATTTTAAAAAAGATGCAAGATGACAGCACAGTGGAGGTCAAGGTTGTAGTACTCTATTTTATTTATTTTTAAAATGAATTCACGCACTAGCTAAATTTTCATGAATTAATATAAGGATGAAGAATTTTTAATATTTAATTGTATAAGATAATACAAATATGAGTGTTAAATATTGTAATGTATTATGAATATTTATAGAGAACCTATAAACCTGACCACCGCTGTACTTGCTGCAAAACATCTGGCAGCACCATCAGCTGTTTCCCTGCGACTTTTGCAACACTGGCTAAATGCCGGTAAACTCGTGTGGCCTCCCAGTTGTTTTGATTTCGCTGTTACATATTATTTATAATTAATTATTATGCAGTTTTCCCTGAACTACACAACGAGGAGCCTGGTTCCCCGGCTGCACCGCTTCACCAGCAAGATTGCCGTGGACGTGGAGCCGACTGTGATCTCTGGCCTGGAGCAGGCCACCCTGAAACCCAGGAAACATCCCGGCGTAGTGAGGCCCAATCATGTGGAGCTGCCCAAGCAGCTAAATGACACCCTGAAGCGCATCGTGGGCGATCATCCCGTTAAGAAACTAATCCACGATGGCCAGCAGCTCAACGCCTACATCAAATCCCGCCATCCGCCGCCTACGCAAGAGGAGATCGAGAACAAGAAACGGATCATCATAGAGGAAGTGAACTCCAAGATGTCCCTGGATCGCCTGGTTACTCTAAACGAGGAGGAGGCGGAGCGCTGGAAGCGCAAGCGGGAGCTGGAGATCAACAAGCGGCTGGGCCAGCGCGTCTACGCCTGGAAGCGGATCGAGTACGGCCCGTATGAGTCCCTGGTCTACGCCATTGCTCGCGGTGCCCAGGAATATGCCGTGATGAAGCGCGTCCTCACGGAGCTCGCCCAGCGGGATGAGCAGTTCCGGCCGCGCAGCTTCTTTGACTTCGGTTCTGGGATCGGCACCGGCATGTGGGTGGCCAGCGAACTCTGGCGTGACCACATCTTCGAGTACTACAACGTGGACAGGTCTCGGGAGATGAACGAGATCTCTGAGCTCATTCTGCGCGATGGCCACGAGAATAAGCAGATGGGCCTGCGCAATGTGTTCTACCGACAGTTCCTGCCCGCCATCGAAACCAATTACGATCTGGTCATCATATCTCACACACTCTTTGAGTTGGTGGACAAGGAGCAGCGAGAGGACGTATTGCGGAATTTGTGGCGCAAGTGCGATGGCTACATGGTCATAGTGGAGGAGGGAACGCGTCGGGGCAGCGAGCTGGTGAACGAGGCCAGGCGATTTTTGTTGGAGCAGGATCAAGAAGGTCACACGGTGGCACCAGTAAGCTTATAAATTAATCCAAAAATTAGTTGGTAGTAAATTGTATTCTTTTTACCTTCAGTGTCCTCACGATGTGCCATGTCCACGCTTTAGAGATCTGGCTGATCGCACGCCCTGCAATTTCCCCGTCTCATTTGCTCCTCTGCGTTTGGGCAGCGACTCCTTGGCGGACCGCCACACCTCCCTCTACAGCTATGCCATCCTGAAGAAGGGTCCCCAAACCGATAGCTCCAGTTCATGGCCTCGGATTGTGCGTCCCACCTTGGTGAGGTCAAAGCATGCCATCTGCCGAGTCTGCACGGAGGAGGGCAATCTCCAAGAGGTTATCTTCACGAAGTCAAAGCATGGAAAGTGAGTTTTACAAACCTGTTGCTTCTTGAAGATCTCTCAAGCAATTGTATCTATAATTTCTATTTGCAGATCTGCCTATTCCTGTGCGAAAGTCAGCCGCTGGGGCGATCGCTTGCCTATGTCGCTAGGACAACCTGAGGTCAATCCCGGCTCCACAGATTCATCCACCGCAGAACAACCTGTCTTGGCGTAGCTTAAGCTGTTAAATCAATAAGTTTTGGCATAAAGTCACGCCCTGAAGCTAATTGATACTAAAAACTGGCATCCAATTAGCCGATTTAATTATGTGCAAACAAATCGTTGCGGGCGGAGCTGAAATTAATTAAATAGTTGCATTTAAATTAAGCATACAATCCAAATGGCAGGGCCGCATGCTCATTGATACTAAATTTTGTCCAACGGCCAACAACACACCCTCACCTAGTTTTTAATGTATGGCAAGACAAAAGGCGGATGCGGCGACTGCGGATGGGTTGGCCCCGCCGTTTTGGATCAGCTTGTTATGTAATGTCACCGGTATATAGGAGTCAACGTCGCCTGGCCAATGGTCAGCGATGTACAGAACGCCCCATTGTTGATGTATAGCCGAGGGAACTACTTTGGTGGCCATAACAGCTTCGTTATTTCTTCAAAGGTATTAATTATAAAAATATTTGCATGTAATATGTTTAAATATAATTTATTAAGATCATTTTGTTATATTTTAAATATTGAAATACACATTTTTACAAATGAAAGTGACTTCAATCTTTCAATTAGTGATAATAGATTTCTCAGCCGAAATGTCTGGACTATATCTCCGTTTTGGGGGCCAATCCCACTTTGGCTGACATTTAGTTATGCGAACTACGAAGTCCTAATGGGAGACGCGCCCTTTTAACGACCGCGGATCATCCCCGCAGCAATTCATCGCTTCTTCAAGTCCTGTGCGGCAAAAAGGGCATAACGTGGTTGGAAAAGGGCAACATGTGGGGCGCGAAAAGTGGCACTCCGATTGGAAAGGGGAGTGGGTGCGGAAGGACTACTTCCTTGTACATAGGGTTTTAGGGATTGGCTTTGGAACAAGGTGTGTTATAGAGCAACGGACCGTGGATACATAACGATGGATTATGAACATAGCAGGCGAAGCACGGTAATATCCTGTGGGACCTTTCTGATTAGGGCTTACACTTTCTTATTAAATTTAATTTACTGCAACTCATTTGATAACTTATGTTCTAAAGTTTTATGGAGTATATAGATCATATAAAAAAGTAAGGTGCTATTCTTTTTTTTGAGACCTCTTAAATCTATTTGTATTATAACCAGGGACCGTAAATAATCATTATTTGAGATTTTTATTTTAAAAGGCATACTGAGGTTTTTACAAGTTTTAATCAACAATTCAACTGGTTTTTATGCACTTTATAGACATGAACAAATAACAGTTAATTTGCTTTCCAGATTTGTTGAAATGCATATACTTTGTGGACAAGAGTAAAAAGAACGTTATTTTTGACGTTTAAAACAAAATATCACAGTAGCCTTTTAAAATAAAAATCTCAAATAATGATTATTTACGGTCCCTGATTATAACTTCTGAGATTATGATATTATAAGCATTTCTCCAGAAGTGTTTAAAGCGTTGAATAAAACATATCCGACAGGTTTGAAAATCTGAAATAAAATAAATATTATTTTTAGAATTCATTAATTAAAAGGACATACTTTTTTTTTGTATTAACTGTGCTTTAAGCTGGTGATATATAAACTCAGCCCTTCTTTTTCAATTATTCTTGACTCTTTCTGAATTAGAATAAAATGGACATACCCTTTATACTTTAAGCTAGTGATATATAAACTAATCCCTCCTTTTTCAATTATTCTTCATATTTTTGGTCTTTAAAACTGGGTTATCAGTTATCACTATGCTTTTGGGACCCAAATTTAATTAGGAAATGCATTTGCCAAGTCATTAACCCATTTATAGGTGCGTATAAATGGCAGGATATACATATGACAGGATCCGGCGAAGACTCTATGTGCCGGGCAAAGTCCAAGCCCAGTTTCTGGGCGAGCACACGTCATGGCGACCCTGGGCATCTCCATTGCCAGTTCCATCTGGGCTCTATGTAATCACTCCGGCTGATACTAGGTGGGGTCTTTTAACGCCGGTCGCTCGTTAAAAAGGCGCGTTCGCCGATGGTGTCAGCTGTCGCTCCGCTTCCATTTGGCTATTTGTATTAGTAAGGTGCGTCCCACGACAACAACAAATAATGGTGGCGTTTAGAAAGCATGCGCCGCTGTTGCAAGTAAACCTAGTGGATAGTGTATAGTGGATAGTGGCTAGTGACCCACCCACCCATTCAGCCAGTCAGTCTGACAATCCAGTCAGCCAACCCCAACCGAGGCACTCAGCCAACCAGGCAGCCCGGCATTGTCAGCGCTTCCTTTTGTTCGGGGGTCTCTGGGTTCTAACACGCTTTTACATAGCTAAATATCTAAATAGTTAGATAGATAGATGGGTCGCCCGGGTCCGGGTTGATCACAAGTGGCTACCTACAAACTGGCGCTGGCTTCTGGCCATCAGTTCCAATCCGAGCGTGGCCAGGAAAAGTTGCGGTCGCGGTTCCAGTGTTCTACTTATAGAGATCCAGTGATGATGTGACTTGGTGATTCATTTATCCTGACTGAACCTAACTTTAATTAAGCGGCATATTTCATTCGCGCCTGTATCTTGCTGAACCGTTACCACTTTGGCCTTCGATCCGGTTGAGCAAAATTTCAGGTGTGTGAGAAATTTGTTAAGCATGCATCGAGGGATTTAAATTATATACAAATTTTATGGAGGAATCTTTATTCGGTAAGTGTTCAGATGGACCTCACATTGTTCTTACAGAAGTCGAGGAATCCAAAGATAATAATGTTGGTACTGAAAGAATCCCAGTTTATTTTAGGATACAGCATTTATTTAAGAAAATCTTAAAAATAGGAAGCTTTTAAGAAGGGCTTTATAAGAGTTTAATTTATAATGGAGTTGTAGGATAACTTTGAAACCTTAAATGGTTGCAATCTAAAACTTATGATCAGAAGCTAAGCGAGATTGTTTAAAAAACTCTTTAAATTTATGTTTAGTCACTCATTTTTATAGCAGGTACCTATCACAATATTCGCTGTTAAAAATTTTAGAAATCACTGATAAGAACAGGAGAAGTAACTTAAGGAATAATTTGTGAAATCTTCAAATAATAAAAAATAATAATGTGTATTGGACCCAATGTAGTTTTTACATTACTAAAAAAGCTCAAAAGTTTAATCAATTATCGAGACAACTATATAATTTGTATACAAATTACTAAAGATTACTAAAAGATTGCCCTCACAAAATTAATAAATAGTCGAAGAATCACGCCATTAGTCATAACAATTAAATTAAAAATCATCAAAACTGTGGAAATAAACCACTTCCGACGGCCTGAGATTTTGTCAAAGATCATTATTCATCGCTACAAGGCACACGCGTTAACCACGCGTTATCAGTTTTGGTTAGCTCTCGGGCGCTACAAAGATTTATGGCACCAAAACTGGAAATATCGCCCACCATATTATGAGTTTTAAAGAAGCCCCGACAATTTGGACTTTGGCTGCTTAGAATACATTCTTGTGTACAAGTTATAATAGCTACGAATACATGGGCAGTGGGTGATAAGTCAAATTGTATAGAAATCCTCAGAACTTTATCGGATTTGGGGTGCAATGATACCAGCAAAGATTAGCTAGAACAAGAAAACTAAGCGATCGCCTTGATTTATTCGCAGGAGTGATGAGTGATCCCATGCGTCTTATTTACGATTTCCTATAGCCTTTATATGGCGCAAACGATCGTAAATTGTAATCTTATCGTTCCCTTGGTGTTCGCCGGCGTGCAGATTGTACTTGTAGTCAATATTTAAACTTATCACACACTTATGTAAATTGTTATTTATAGTATTGGATCGAACTTCTCCAGTCATCGGGTATTTGCCACTTAATTAATCCCCGGAACCAGCTTAGACCGAAGTTCAAGCCCAACCAGCTGCCGATCACCAGTGGCACTTGATAAAGCCGTGACGTTTTGTAAGTTTGTACACTTTGCTCTGTTCTCCATTATTAGCTTGGGAACATTCAGCACTTACAATATCAATCGGCTTTTGTTTAGCTCGACTCGAAAACGGTCAAAGTCCGCCGGAGGATTGAATCATAGAGTCGGTTCGGGGCTCGTTTGATGGGGCAATTAATACGATAATAACTAAATAAGCACTTATCAATGAAGTTTAGTAACCGGGGGAACGAGAAGTGGGACAAAGTCGTGAGGAATGTACAGAATCTGAATAAATAGAAAGTGAAAACACAATGATTATATCCGAATTCATGGTGAATCGGTTTAAAAAGGCTATCGGGTAGTAAAACAATAATAGTTATTTGAAAGTACAGATAAATTTAAGCGAAGTATTAAAAATAAAGTTAAAGATTTTCTATTATAAATAAACTTTTATAAATATTTTTTTTGGTAATCGAATTCTATTGATTTAATTAGTTATTTATTTTATATTATTTATTTTTAAAGTATTTTTGGCATTTGTTTTACCTATACTATTTGTTTTACTATAATCCCATTCTTACTATAAAATCAAATTTAATTTAAAATCATCAGAAAATTAAAAGAGTTCCGATAACCTTGCTCCGAGAATTTTAATTAACCGCAGGGACCAATGATCGGCGGACAAGGAAGCTAATCGGTGAAGTAACTCTGATTCACGGGCGAGCACAAAGAGCCTTAATAAGTAGAGTCGGCGCATTGCGAATATATAGGCATTGTAAACTGGCCCGATAATGCTGTCCGTGGATAGAGCTCGCTATTGTTCCACTGTATAATTCACGTTGCCATTGGCACAGAATAAAGCCCAAATGAAGAAAGCGACGGCGACGCGGGAATGTTTATTACGTATTACGTATACGACAATTATGGAGTGTCGAAGAAATTCGATATGTGGACTTGTGACCCGAGCACGATCCGTTGTCAACCGGGGCAATCGGGCCGAGAGATCGTGTTGCCAAAAACCCAAGCCCAAACACAAACCCAAAACTCAATCAGCTGCCGCAGGTGAGTATCTGTGTGCGCTGCAGGTGCGCCGGTGTGCGTGAGCGGTTCTTATCAGCGAAGGAAAACGACAA